CCAAATTTCCCCTTTCCATAAGGACACCATCGTATCGGATAAGGGACCACCCTAATCACCTCCTCTCGACAACATCTGCAAAGATTCTATTTCCAAATGCAGAAGACGAGGCCAGGAGTTGGGGAGGGGAGAATATATGGGAACTCTGCACTCTCTATTCACTTTGTTTCTCCTCTAAAAAGTAAAGTCTATTCATTAAAAATGTTAAAGGTTTAAAAAATGGCCTGCTGAATAGTACATATTCAAGAAATGTTAGTTCCTTTTGGATGCTGTATTGATTTATTCAGTTTCCCTGACATGATGGATTTTATTCTTCCTGCATTCGAAGACCCATAGTGGCATGGCCCAAAAAACTTGATAAGACTAGCTTCCTCCATGTGGCCTTGTCCCTAAGTGTTGAGTGTTGGGTTAGAAAAGCCACCTGTCACAAACATCTCCTGCCTTGACTGCATTTACACACATGTGTGTGCACAGGCGAGTACACCCGCACACACCTAAAATGACTTTTCTGCCACCAACCCGGACCCAAACAAAGCAGAAAATTACTAGTTTTTCCTATAAAAGCATCACAGGAAATATCTATAGTGAGGGCCACATGCCCTCGAGGGAAAAAGAAAAACAGCAAGAACTTGGTGAATATAAAACATAATAGATTTCTTGGTTGAAAGATGCACATCAGATACTAAACTACATTTTTTAAGAAAAGAGCCATAAATTAGTTTTAATGAATATAAATATACTTTAATTTCCAACACAGGGTGGGAAATAGAGAAGAAAAAAAGTGACAGAGAAAGAGAAAAAGGTTTTTTAATGTCAGAAGAAATACCAGCCAATGTTTTGCCTTTGAAAAGAGACAAAGAGGCAAGGAGGAAGGAAAGGAGAGAGAGGAAAGTCTTGGGAGCCCTGACATGGTGGTAAGATGCAGGACACACCTTATGTCATATTGTGCCAATCCCCTAGGCCACAGGCCTCTGACTTTGTTACCAAAAGGAAGGGCAGGCTGGGTGTGGTGGCTCACCCCTGTAATCCCAACACTTTGGGAGGCCGAGGTGAGCTGATCACCTGAGGTCAGGAGTTTGAGACCAGCCTAGCCAACATAGTGAAACCCTGTCTCTATTAAAACTACAAAAAATCGGCTGGGCATGATGGTGCACATCTGTAATCCCAGCTACTGGGGAGGCTGAGGCAGGAGAATTGCTTGAACCCAGGAGGTGAAGGTGCAGTGAGCCAAGAGAGCACCATGACAGGCACCAATGACAGGCACTCCAGCAGCATTCAAATGACAGGCACTCCAGCCCTGGGTGACAAGAGTAAAACTCCATCTCAAAAAGAAAAATAAGGAAGGGCAGTGTGTAGGGCAATTTGAAATTCCCCCCCCCCCTTTTTTTTTTTGAGATGGAGTCTCACTGTGTCGCTCAGGCTGGAGTGAAGTGGCGAAATCTTGGCTCATTACAACCTCCGCCTCACGGTTCAAGCGATTCTCCTGCCTCAGCCTCCCAAATAGCTGGGATTACAGACACCCACCACCACGCCCAGCTAATTTTTTGTGTTTTTAGTAATGATGGGGTTTCACCATGTTGGCCAGGCTAGTCTTGAACTCCTGACCTCAGGTGATCCACCCACCTTGGCCTCTCAAAGTGCTGGGGTTACAGGTGTGAGCCACTACACCTGGCCAGACACCTTTAATACTGACTTATTTCTTAATCATGACAGTGTAGGCATGCCCTGTTTTAAAAGAAAATCCAATCTGATCTGTGAGAACCCTTATTGAAAAGACGGAGGTATCCATAGGTAATGACTTATCTGCCTCTGTTAAGGTTTTTGTTTTTCCCCTCTAAACAAAAGAAGTCACCTCAGTAAATCTTTCAATAGCATGTCGACAATCCCCCTGCAGCAAAAAATTTAGATTTTCATAAAACTCTTTGAGAACTCATCTGTCACAAACATCAATAATTAGCTCTTTCACAAACATCAATAATTAGCTCTTTTACATTATTTGTGACACCCAGAGCCTCACGATTGATGGAATCATCCTGTCTTGACTTTCATCCCTTCATTGGTTCAGAGTTTGTTTCCTAAACAATGTTGCTGAAAAGAATTCAGCACTGAGGCCGGGGGCAGTGGCTCATACCTGTCATCCCAACACTTTGGGAGGCCAAGTTGGGCAGATCATCAGGTCAAGAGATCGAGACCATCCTGACCAACATGGTGAAACCCTGTCTCTACTAAAAATATAAAAATTAGCCAGGCATGGTGGCGTGTGCCTGTAATCCCAGCTACTTGGGAGGCTGAAGCGGGAGAATCGCTTGAACCAGGGATTGAACCAGGAGCCAAGATGATGCCACTGCACTCCAGCCAGGTGACAGAGCGAGACTCCATGTCAAAAAAAAAAAAAAAAAAAAATTCAATAAAGAATTCAGCACTGAGTGGGGTAGGGCAGGAAATGAGGGACTATTGCCTGGGGACACGGAACAGACAAAGGAAAAAAATCACTTAACCTTTCTACCTTGATGTGGCTCCTCTTACAAAGGGAAGAGACCAGAGAAATACAGAAAAGCTCTGGAATATAGGGGTGTAGGGATGAAAGAGGATCTTCATCCCCATCCTGGGTTGATACTGAGAGCCATTTTCATAAACACATACACCTTCTCTCCCCCACATGAGACACACACACAACTGAGAGTCCTACCACATGGAACACAGATGTGGTTTTGTGCGTTCCTCTCGGCTACACCCACCCATGTGCACAAAGCCTCACCTAGAAAAGCACTGGTCTGTAGAGACACAGGAAATAGCACCCATATTCTCTCTCTCTCCCTCTGGGTGCCCCCACAGGTGTACTCAGCAGCATTCAAATGACAGGTAGTTTTTCTATGGCTGGGAAAGAAAAAGTGCCCAAGTACACAAGAGAAGGTGAGGAGTGGGAGGAGAGAATGGATAGAAGAAAAAGAATTTGTGTGGGTTGAAAGCCAGTGAGGATGGCCAGCCAGAGTGACCTCATGATGTTAGTTTTACTTCCCTCTAAGTATTCCAAGACACCCCCGGCTCTGCAGACCATGTGCATCTCCAGCCTGCTTGGAGATCTCATTTCACTGCTCATTAGCACCTCCACCAGAGGAATAGGCTGAAAACAGCCACTGCTGACAAGCAGCCAGAATGACTACTTAAATTTGACGAGATAGGGGCAAAAACCAGACGGAGGCTTAGAGGATGCTCTTTAAGCTACTTGGATAAATTTTAAAAGGTAAAATTGTTTGCTTGTAGACAGACCTCTTTCTCCCATGTCTGCTTGCTGTTGCCCTAGTTATTCAAGAGGTAGTTCATATGCAACAAAAGACCACATTGAAGGAAGAGAAGAATCTACTCTCCCAGTGCACCTGGCATTCGAGTCCATGAATCTAGACCCTACTGCCCACAGGGCTGTTCTCACACACTCCTGCTCTGTGGTCAGAAGAGGACCCTACCCCAGGGAGAAGGACCCTCAGATGGCCTCTTAGGGAACCCTCAAATCACTTTTTTTTCCGTTCTGATAATTATAAACTAGATTAGAAAGTGTAGAGAAATGTCTTTGTGGTTGATAAAAATCGTAAGAAGGAAAATGGGTTGTCTCCTTCATAACTAGCAAAGACTTGGGAAGTACTCTTGGTTAAGAACAAGACGGATAAACATCAAAAATCTAAAACTCCAAATAAACACCAAGATTTGAATTTTTAAAGATTTATAAGCAGCATTAATAATACCCTAGAGGATACAAAAGGGGAAAAAATTCAAACATTGTATAGTTTTGCTTTTGTTGGCTGAGGTTTTATTTTTGTTTTTGTGGGTTTTTTTTTAAGAGGGGGAAAAGGCCTTTAAAAATAAAAGAATTTGACAATTTATTTAAGAAGGTTTCTGAACTTGGCTTCAAAATTTAAGTTTTGTTTTTTGCTCCTTCAAACCAAGATGCCTTCAGGTGCGAGGGCTTTAGGTTTTGCACAGCTCTTTATTTTTTCACACAGGGCAAATGGCTCGTCTCGTGTGCACAGAAAGGGCTGGAAAATATTTTTGTGATTCGAGTGCAGCAGAGTCTAGGATTCCAGAGGAAGTGGAGGCCTCCCGTTCCGCACAGGAAACAATCTTCGAGCAGGCCTTAAACGCCAGATTCCAGGCCGAGTTTAACTAACCACTGACAGCTCTGTAAACAAAGCAAGGACGAAAAGAGCCGCTTCCCCTTTCCTGGTGGTCATTTTGGGTTTGGGCTGCAGGGGGATTCTGGAATACTTGACTCCATGGCCCAGAAGTGCAGGGGAAACAGGCTCCTCATTTGAAGAGCTGGAAGGGGAAGGTCTTTCCGGAATTGAAACCATCACCGAGGAGGTAGGAAACGGTAAAATGGTTGGGTTACATCCGCAGAAAGAGCAGCGATTTTAGAGCTGGGAAAACAGCTTGATCGCCACTTAACTGCTTTTAAAAATGTTGCTTCCTTCTGTTTATTCATGATGTGACGGCTGCAGTCTTTATTAAAATCCTGAATGCTGCTTTGAGAATATGCACATTATATGCCTAGATACTGATTCATTTCTCACTTTCACTTTTCTCCTGGTTTCTACATAGTCGTCTTCTTGCCGCTTTCTTTTTTGTTTATCATTCCTGTTTTCCTCCTCCTTTGTTCACTTTTTCGTAACTTTGGTCTGGGATTCAGTAAGTTACAAAGAACAAAACCATTCAGTAGAATCTCAAGTGATTCTACCAACAGTTCAAGCCTTCAAAACCTGTCTCCTGAGGTCTTTTAAAATATATATCTAATCTTGGGATTTTACTTACTCGTCTCTAAGAGATTCATGAATGAGACTGAATTTAACTCGGCTCGGGAGTCAGAAATTGATCACTGGCTACCTTATCAGCTTTCCGAGGAAAGAAAACTCAAAGGCAATGACAAATGGGAAGGAGGGACCACAGTGACCGAGGAGAGGTGACACTCTGAGCCATCTATGATACTGGGTCTACCTCCTCCACTTCAGGTCCAGAAATCTGGGCTCCCTGAACCGGAAATAACACCATGGATGATTTTGAACGTCGCAGAGAACTTAGAAGGCAAAAGAGGGAGGAGATGCGACTCGAAGCAGAAAGGTAAGGATCTACGTTGAAAAACACTTGTATTCCCTTGTCAACAATGCTGGTTTCAGGCCTCAAAGACCATCCTTCTGAGAGGCCACGTGTGGTCATATTATATTGCACGCTAAACGGTTGCTAAAGTAGTTGTGGAAAATTTTTCTGCCGAAGCTCTAAATTTGGCATTAAAAAAAAAATAGGTCAAGAAAAAGAGATTTGAGAGGAATCAACTGATAATTGCATATAGATAAATTGCATTTAATCAATACCTTTCGCATCGGAATGTTTTAAATGACAAAGGTAATGTATGGATAAAGGTTTATATAATATTGAAATGGACAGAAAAATGCCAAGTATTGAATATTGGAGCCATTTCGAAAATGAGTCTTCAATCTAAAAAAAAAAAAAAAAAAAAAAAGGCAAAAAGCCCCAGATAAATCTTGTGAAAATTTTTCATTCTTATTAGAAAAGTATCCAGCTCTAGGGGTCTGCACAGTACAGATTAATAGTAGACTGTGTTACTGAGGAGATTCTGGGTGTAACTGGAAGCTGTTAATGTTGCATGGGCCTCTATAGTGGTGACTATGAGGTCAGGTTGGAGAGAGAACGCATGGGCATGTAAAACCTGGGGCATAAATAGATATTTTAACATTTTAGGTCTCAGGACAAAGGACAGTGGTATTTGATGTGGTTTAAATCAGATGTTCTTTCAAGAAAGCAGGTTAGGCATTCACAGAGAGAAAAATGTTAAGACCTTAAAATCAAATCCGTTTTGTTCCCAGTAATCCCAATGCACAGATGAAAGATGACTCTTTAGCAATCCTGCAGTAGAAAACTGGAAACTTCCACCTATAATCAAAAGTATTGTTCTTACCTTCTACTTATTTGCATCGAGAATGCAAAAGCAAAAGATAAAATGACTGCCTATGATAAACTGGCCCAGAGTCAGCTGCCATTCACAAAATGACTAAGCATGTCCACAGGCACTGTGGATGGTACATTCTGTTGGTTCAAATCCTAGCTCTGCTACTTTCAAGCTGTGTGGCCCTGAGCAAGTGATTTCTCTTTAAGCCATAGTCGTCTTATATATAAAGTAGGCATAATATCTATATTAGCCTGTGTGGTTGTTGGGAAGATTATTGAGCTTCATAAATAGCCTAGTCAGGTACCTGGCATGTAGTAGTTTTTCCATAAATGATGGTTTTTCATAAATGATAGCTATTATTATTACTAACCATTATCACTCACCAAACAAGTAAGAGACAGCATAGCAGGGTAGCCAGAACTAAACATTCATGCCAAGAGAAGAAAAGGTAGTCATCATCCTGCGATGAAACTTGTCAGAGAAACTTTCCTGGCGGAGGTGAGCCATAGAGGAGGCAATGATGGCGATGAAGAGGGAAAGGGAGCCTGTCTAGGTGAAGGAATGACTCTGGCAAAGTACAGAAGTAGAAATAAGAATCCTGGTGTGGCTGGGCACGGTGGCACATACCTGTAATCACAGCACTTTGGAAGGCCGAGATGGGCAGATCACCTGAGGTCGGGAGTTTGAGACCAGCCTGGCCAACATGGTGAAACCCAATCTCTACTAAAAATACATAAAATTAGCCTGGCATGGCAACACATGCCTGTAATCCCAACTACTTAGGAAGCTGAGGCAGAGAATCTCCTGAACCTGAGAGGCAGAAGTTGTGGTGAGCCAAGATTGTGCCATTGTACTCCAGCCTGGGCAGCAAGAGCAAAACTCCATCTCAAAAAAAAGAAAAAAAATCCTGTTTCAAGAAACTTGTTGAGTGGTTTGAGGAAAAATGGATTGGCCTTGTATATCTTGGCTGTTCCTATTTGCCATACAAGGAATAGACAGAAACTTAACAAGGAAGTTATGTATGATGACACTATGCTGGAGAAGCTTATCTACAGGAGACTAAAATATAGGGATACCAGCACTGGAGGAGATAGTATGGAACATAGGGCAATGAGGGTCTGAATCAGGTGAGTGTGGAAATGAAGAAAGATCAAATATCAACATCTTTACAGAGGGAAAATTAGCAAACATTTCAGGAGAGCAAAAAGCTTCAGACAATTCCAAAGAATATATGTCTGAGCTGGAAGGAAAGTTGCTTTGTCTCAAATGAAGGATTTCCTTCTTGAATGGTCAGAGGAGTTGTGTTTAATTTCAGGGAGAAACCACATCCAAATGGAGATCTCCTGCAGGCACGTACAGATAGGAAATTTCACTCTTTATTCAAAAAGAGAGAGAAATTATGATTCATCAATTTGGGCAGGCACAGTATGGCGGTGCTAGTACAAAAGCTGAAGGATATTCCCAGAAAAGCAAATGTAGAAAAAGTAAAAGGTCATAAAGGTATAATGGAAACCACTGAAGAAGACAATGTACCAGGGAGATGGGGGAGAACGAGGGAGAGTATGAGGTCCAGTGTTTAGTGAACATGGTGGACATGGAAGTCTTGTGGGCCACTGCTGGGCCCAGTGAAACACACCTCTTTATTTTTTTCTGAGATGGAGTTTTGCTCTGTCACCCAGGCTGGAGTGCAGTGACATGATCTCAGCTCACTGCAACCTCCACCTCCTGGGTTCAAGTGATTCCCCTGCCTCAGCCTCCCGAGAAGTTGGGATTATAGGTGCCCGCCAATACACCCGGCTAACTTTTGTATTTTTAGTAGAGACAGGGTTTCATCATGTTGGCCAGGCTGGTCTTGAACTCCTGACCTCGTGATCTGCCCACCTGGGTCTCCCAAAGTGTTGGGATTACAGGTGTGAGCCACCATGCCCGGCCTGAAGCATACCTCTATTCCTTCTGATGCTGTGTTATTTCACCTCTGATTCTCATGATAGTCTACAAGATGTCTTCATCCCACAACTATTACTAAGCACTAACCAGGTTTAAGTGTCTGTGCTAGAGATGTGAAAAATAATGGTGTTAAAGAAATAGACATAGTTCCTGCCTGTATGTACCTCACAGCATGCCAAGAAACCCAAGTGTGACAAAATCAGAAAGCAGGCAGGCCAGGGTGTAGGGGTAGGCCTGACAGTTGTGGCTAGAGAGGTTCGGGACTGAGGACGTAGACATTGGCATCGGGCTGGATTGGCGTTGTCAGCATCTTTGCTTTCTACGTGAACAGGGAGTCAGGGAATCATTGAGAGCAGTGTGACAGAGTTGAATTGCTGTGGTTAGAGCCATACTGTCATTAGAGTGAGTGAACTTAGTGTCTTCAGATTGAGGACTTTGCCTGAGAATTGACTGCACAGCGACATGGTTCGTTCCTTCGACTTTTTTGTTTGGCGTGGAAGAACTTGCCTTCTTTTATTGCCAGATGTAAAAGGAGTGTAGACAGTAAATGTTAGCTATGTACCCTACATAACCTGAAATAAACTTACACACATTTATCCTAACCTTGTTTAACTTACATTTCTGTCTGTATTACTTCTTTTGGAATATTATATTGTTTTCTTTTTCTATTTCGTCTTTCCTTCCTTTTCTTTCTTGCTTCTATTTTTTTTCTTCTCTCTCTCTCTCTCTCTCTCTCTCTCTCTCTCTTCTTAAGAAAGAGTAGTATTTACGTATTTCCTTTTACTTGTACTAAGTTTACCTTTCCATGTTTCAAGGTGAACCTCCTAGTTCCGCTATTCTGAGATTTGGGTAAGCCCATGTCCACCCTTCAGGATTTTGTAAAATCTGATCATTTCTGAGAATAGTGAAAGTCAGGCTTTATGGTTCAGCCAGCTCTGGTGGGAAAGTACAGGGTGTGTGCAGGAAACAGGTGGCTAGAAGCAGAAATGAAGGCCATCTAAAATCATGGTTTTGATCCGAAGACAAAGGGCACATGAGACCCTGGGCAAGTCTCTCTTCCTTTAGCTCCAGACCTTGGCTTCCTCCTCTAAAATAAGACTAGCCATTTTCTCTGGGGGATGGGTGGTCATTTAATTTTTTTTTTCTTTATAATGATCATATGTTACTTAATTTAAAGCCAAATAAAAATTAAGGCAATTTTCTGTTTTGAAAAAAATCAGTCTACGGCCCTATGCAGTATACCTGAGGCCAGTCAGAAGAAAACTTACCTTCCCTTTGAAAATAGGGAACTAAAATAAAGAACTCATCCCTGATCTAGAGGGCAGGAGAGCCAATTACTGGAAATAGAGTGGCTCCAAGGCTCAGAGTTGCAGATTCATTCATTTACTCTCAACAGGTTTCTACTGGGCATCTATTCCACTACAAGCTCTATTTTGGGTCCTGAGAATAGACCCACAGAGTCACAGTGTCAGGAAGTGTGTGCTTAGTGCTTTTCAACCTATCTAAACCCAAGTAAAGATCAAGAAATTATCCTTTTATATCCTCAAACATACCATATACCCCATATGGCTTCATACTTATTAAAAATGACCCACAGCCTTTGTACACTTTACCCAGACAATGCGGGGAAGAGAAGGGGTACTACAGAGAAGAAAAAGTCCACTGACTTTCCTTACCCGTAAAAGCTTTCCAAATAAAAATACCCTGTTATTTTTATTTAATTAGTACTGAGTTTGATTACCAGGTGAAGTTTTACTTTGAAATGATAAATAATTTAAAACTTGTACTTTCACCTGGTGTCATAACCACAGATTAAAATAACCCGAATGTTTACACATTTTATTTCTCAGAAATAGACCTTTTCAAAGACTATTTTGCAAGCTAATTGCAGGCTTTGTGCCATGCTGGCTTTCATGTGTTTGGGACTGGCATTTACTCACTGCGTCCAAGCTGCCCTGAGACTCTGCCGTCCATATATCTCCTTCTAAGGGTTTAGCCTGGTCCATTTCAGATAACCTCAACTGCAAATTTAGTGCATCAAAAATGTTCTTCCAGCCAGGCATGGTGGCTCATGCCTGTAATCCCAGCACTTTGGGAGGTAGAGCTGTGTGGATCACTGAAAGTCAGGAGTTCAAGATCAGCCTGGCCAACATGGTGAAACCCTGTCTTTACTAAAAATACAAAAATTAGCTGGGCATAGTGGTGC